CCTGAAGAGGAGGGTGAGGTTTGAAGTTTGCAGTGCTAGCTTAATGCTAAGGGGCTAGGGTAGGCTTGGAGGGAGCAGACATTTCAGAGCACGGTTATCAAGAAGGTGCGTTCAAAAAGCGAGTTTCCCATAGAAAATACTGCTCACCGTTCACTTCCTGTCAGTTTGCCATTGTCAGAGGAGGGCTACAGGCACTGAGGTATTAACCCAGCACAAAACAGGATGTTGGCTTTTAGAGTTGATTGATCTTTAAAAAAAAGAAGTGTTTTTCTTCTGTGCTTACCCTATCCCTTTTTTTCAGTTGAGAATTAAGTTAGTTGAAGGGGAACAGGAAAGGCTGAGACCCCATTTTCCAGGTGGGGGGAGGGGAGAGTCAAAAAACAGCTTGGTAACAGATGCTGGTTAATAATACTACATTTCTGGAAAATGCTTTGGACATTAGCAGCCAAATACAGACAGATACACAGACAGAAGTCACAGGTACTGGTACTGACAGGCAGGGCCTATAAATTCTGATCAGACACATCCAGAAATTACAGAGATTCAATCAGTTTTGCAGAGACCCACAGCTCCCTCCACCCTTTGCTAATCCGCCACCCTCACAAACATACTTTCCCAGATTCAACACCCGCACGGACACACCCAGATGACATAGCCATGGGGACACAAACATCTGAGTCAAAGTCTCAGATATACTCAAAGGCTTTCTTCCTGGAGTGCTCTCTAAACAAAGAATTGCCGTGTCTCTGCTCTCCTTTCTGTTGATCTAGCATCCTATGGGAGCCCCATGGTTCAAACTGTACCGCCAAAATGCAAGAGGCCAGCAAATATTACGTGCGGTGTTTCTGAGCAGGCAGAGCTAGCTCTGCTACCTCTTTTGCAGGCATGCCAGAGTGAATGATTGCCTTGATGTAGCAGGAACAGCAGTCATTTGGCCTGAAGTGAACTTTCTGGTCTGGGCTCACCCGTGTTGCAAAGAATTGTCTGGGAAGCTGCAAAATCCATGGCTCCACAAATGCAGCATTTTCTCACTCAGATGAAACTTCCTCCTAGAGTCTGTTTTACTGGCGCTTGTGATGACTGGATTTCTTTTTCCTGAGCAGAACAGATATAGAAACGTTCTTCTGCATATAGGAGCACCTTAGACAATCTCATAGATGCCACTCTGTCCCAGAAGATCTGTAAGCAGACAGACAGACAGGTCATACTCTAGAATACCTGACATTCATACTTGCACGCATTGCATGAAAAATGGCCAGTTCTTCAGTGTAATTTAGTATCTCCTTTAAAACATTTGTCACAAGTTCCTTAGAGTTAAAGCAAGCAGGTTGTTTGTTTCAGATTTTCTGCTGTTTTTCAGTTCAGAAAGTATAGAGTAATCCACACCTCCTGTCTTCCTGTTTGGAGAGCAGCATACACCACAGTTCTGTGTGTTCTCTTTGCTTTTTCAGGAAGAAAGATTTAGCATGAATGAACTCAGTACTGTGTACCCGGCTGAGAGCAATGGCATTTGGGAACTTCGCAGGTAGGAAAGATTTGCCTTGTGATAAGATGCTTTGGTGGGGCAGCCGTAACTACTTTTGCTTTAGTAATACTGGTAAAATGATACTATCTCTGCCTAGCAGTTTCCTTTTTTGTAGACCTAAGCAGACAGTTTCCTCTGTGGAGTACAACCCCTGAAAGCATAAAGAAAATATTGAAAGAGATCCCAAGGAGAATGAAGCAATCATTGGAGGTATGTGATTTTGAAGGTCTGCTTCATTGCAGATGTCTTGAAAACGACACTTGTGACCAATGTCCCCAGTGAAATCCTCCTTCTATCCCTGCGACAAGCAAAGCATGGGCAGTCAGAGCATCCTGCCCTCCCTCCCTCATCCTGCTTTCATCACTTCGGTTCCTATCACCTCTCCCAGGGTACTGTTATCGAGACTTGAAGAAATCAATAGGATTACCAACCAAGGAGGAATTTCATTCTCACATTTCTTTTAGATTCTCGGTCTAAGATTTGCTTAGATTTCTAGTTGCAACATCTGCTGATTGCTTACAGCAGAGGGCTTTCAACTAATCCAGTGTTTCAGCAACAGAAAATGAATTAGTCCTTTTGCCTAGCCTCCAGATTGTGGCAACTCAGCATATCGTTCTTTCGGCTAAGGACTGAGTAACCATTGCATATTGAACTTGGGAGATGATGAGATTGTGATTTAAATCTGTTAATTCCTATACTTGCTAAAGAACCACAGGAGTCTTACAGCACGTAGTACAGCAACAGTTAAGCGTACTGTAAGAACAACCATGCTGAGGCGACTTTTGGTAATGATTATTTGGGATATGATGATGGGCACATTTAAATCCATTCTTCTGGTGTGTTTTCCTCCAAAGGCAGCAGGGACTAGTGAAAAACTGTGAAGGAAAAGTATACATCTCTTTCAGAAAAGATGCTTTAACCCTCTTCTGCCCCAGAGACAAATGATGGCTTGAAACTGTGTCACTTTGCAGCTGTACGCAAGGTAGGGGAGCCAGCAGAAGACAAAGGGAGTGTTTCCAAATTCTTCTGCACCACTCTGTTCTCAAGGGGTGGGGACTAAAATTCTTGAGGAGGAGCATGTGCAAACAGTTGCTAAAACAGGAACGAGATGTCTAGTTTACAACACTGTGATCTGAATGGAAAGGGAAACCATAGCAAAACATTCCTGAGGCTTAATTTTTCCCATCTGAAATTTTCTACCACCACGGAAGCTTCTTATTTCCAGCGCGCAAGCCTGTCCTTCTCTATGAAAGGAGAAGAACATCCTGCAACTTCTGACTTGGTAGCATCAGAAATGAAATTAGAGTGGAAAGAGCTAGTCCTGCTTCACAGCTAGCCAGTGACACCTTGCACGGGGACTCCCTCCTTGCACCCACGTTTGTGCAGCACCTTTCACAGTGGAGCCCTGATCTCTCACTGGGGACTCACCAAATGGCACATTAGTATTGCTGATATTACTGTCATGTCTGGGAATCCCAGCCATGGACCAGGACACCTGAGACTTCAGTTCTGCACAAACACAGTCATCACCGGCTCTCTGCTCCTCTTCTGCCCCCTAACCACCCTAAAGCCAGTGCACTGCTGATTTCCTTAAGAGTGGAGGGAAGAGAGAGGGAAAACTGCAGCTAAAGGAAGATGCACCTCACAAATAGAGCAAGGGAGGAGACCCTGCAGACTCGGAGAGGAAAGGCTATGCAGGGGAGAGACCCAAGAAGAGACATGGGGGGAGCAACTGCAACCAAAAGAGAGAAATGGAGACAGGAAGGGGGGGGGAGGAGGAAAGATAAGGTGATAGAAAATATAGAGAGGAGAAAGAAAGCGAGGGAGAAAATGCACGCACAGCGTCCCCATGTTTGGGCACAGCAGCAGAGTTTGCTGCTTGTTGTCCCATGAGCCCAGCACTCCGGGAAGGACAGTATCTGTTTAGATTTGTGTCTAAATTTAAACCCCGATTGCCTTGCCTCCCCCTCCTCTCCCCTCCCTCCCTTCCTCTCACCCACCCGCCCTTCTTCCTTGTTCGTAGTGCAGGGCCGCGCTCGCTGGCCTCTGTCAGCCTTCACGCTGAGCAGGAGCCTGGATATTACAAACCCTCCACAGCAGCGCGATTTTACTCTGGCTCGCCTGAAGTTTTCCCACAGATAAGAGGGAAAGGGGTGGGGAAGAAAGATTGCCCCGAGGACACTTCTCTCTTGCAGGACATGGAGGTAAAGAAAACTTTTATTTCCACTAGCTTGTGACTCGCTACTAGGTCTGCATTAGCTCCACCTTGCAAAGCAATTTTTCACTGAAGCCAGGTCAGTGTGCTGAAGTTCACATAAACGTCTGTTCCCCCCTACCCCAGCCCCTGCCACGCACCTCAGAATATTTGGCAGGCTTTAGTCCAGATTTGGTTGGGGGGGGACGGGTAGCGAGAGAAATTACCTATGTGGAAGGGGGATGAGGAAGGACTGCCATTTACTTTTTTTAAGTCTCTGAGGGTGGCAGAGAGAGTTAACTTTTAAAAGGCTTGCATCATTTTGGAAGGAGACTTTAAAAGCTCATGAGAAACGGGCACGTAAAGAGATGTGAACAAACCGTATAGGATCAGTGGGGTCCCTGGGGTAAATTCCTACCCATCCCTTGCAATAGTGGCTGTGATTTGGCCCCAGATGTCCCCCCGGTTCCATGTGGATCATGCAGTCTCACTTTCATTATCGACAGAGAGTTTTGGTTCAGGAAAGAGAACGTGAGAGCCCTTGCTTCTGCAAGGTAAATGAATAGCATGCCCGTGAAGCTTTTCCCATACCTTTCTTCCTGGTGTGTGCCTCGAACTTCAAGAGAGCAGGAGCTCTTGGCTGTTGATGGGGATGCTGCTGATGGGAAAGGGTACAGAAATAGGAGTCAGGATTCCCTGCTGTGCAAGTCCAAGCGTTCTCCCGTGCAGCACGCTCTTCGGCAAGGCATTCCACCACTCCTTGCTTCTTTTCCCATTCATATGAAATGGGAGTGATTGTGCTTGCTCCACTCACGTGAGACTGGATTTGCTAGATTTTCAAACATTTTTTTAAGTGGTAGAGGAAAACAAATATATTTATTTCTAGGAGAGGCAGAGAAGATAGAAAGGCGATTGCAACATTGGCAAAACCTCAAATGACGAAAGAGAACTTTTGGTATTTCTCTCAACTAAGCACAGATCTTACTAAATACTTTATAATGTCTTCCCGGAGATTTGTGTGTGTGTGTTGGTTTGGCCCCAAAAGCAGGGAACACGCAACAAAGAGAGGAACGATGTGCTTAAGGCACCACTGTAATTTTTCTTTGAAGATTTCCAGCGCATAGCTCAGCTGGGCCGTTCTGATAACAGCCAGGTGCTAACATCACAGTCCTTGTTATCAGTGCTGGCCTGCCCTACAAGCGAAGGTAAAAGATCTGGCATGTTCATTACAAGAAAAGCCCTCGACAGGCTATCTAAGCAGGTTTTGGTGTGAGGAAGGACTGAGCACCGATCAAACCAACACAGCATAGCCTGTATGTGGCTAGACACGTACAGCCTGTATGGCTTTATAAGGGTTTTTAGATTTGGCAGAACCTGGATCAGGAACTGTTAACGCTTGTTTTATTTTTTTTTCGCTATGCAGCATCCTGTGATGTCTCAGAGGGGAAGGGGAGTTGAACTCTTAATTTGTTAAAACTGCTGTGCACAGGAAGTCACATACGGAGCAAAGACTAAATTAGGGCTGAAACAGATATTCTGTCGTGTCGCGCGTGCTCTGCCCTATATCCTCTCCTCTACACACAGAGAGGCCTGCACCCCTAGAGTGTTTTCTATTGTGTGGCACAGTGGTGCTTTCAGAGTAGTAACGGATGGGCCCTCCATTTCCTTTTTGGAGACACATGTAACACATATGGCAAGTCTGCCTGTTGGAGAGTTTCTCTGAAATGTTTAACCTAAGACTTTCCTTCTCTTGTTTGAGTCCCTTTACCTCCATTTCCCACTCTTTCACCATGTTGCCCCATGGTTTTCGGATCATCTGTAGATTGCTACATCTATAGATTATCATATTTTTAAAACATCATCTCCCCAACTGTCTTTTAAGTAGTGCACTTGGTCTTCCTTCCCCACTCCAGCCCTCCAAAAAGGTGGTTAATGTATGCTTCACAGATGAGAAGATATTAGACCAAAATAGAGCCAAGAGCAAAGATTTGAGTTCCCACCTCCCAATTCCCTGCTCTGTCTGCTTCTTCCTGAGAGTTTTTCACAGAAAGTATGAGCAGGACATAGAGACTCGTTACTGTCTTTCGCTTTAAAAAACAAATTTAATGCTCCTGTGCAAGAGGAACAAGAAGTTCTGTCATTTCCCCATTTGCTTCAGCAGTAGCAGGCAGAGCTGTTCTGGTCTTTGTTGCTGGCAGAGGTGGCAGCCCTGCTCTAATGGGACACATGAAGATTACCAGCACTAGGGAAGGAAAGAAGGGCAGAGAGGGCTGACCTAGACAGCTGATTTCCATCATGTCTCTGGCAGGAAGATACTATTTCTGAAAAACCTACAGAGGCAAGATAGTTGGGCTCGCTTTCTTAGTGTGGTTAGTGTAGTTTTACTGCTCCTTAGCATCTAGTAGCTAAAGTGGTTGCCATTCTGCTATCAGGAACATACCCCATTTTAAGCAGGAATTGTAATTGCTTAAAGATCGGGCAGCAAAAGCCTGCTGTTCAGGGCCAGTTCACATAGTGTTGTGAGTCTGCTGACCATCTTTTTTTTTTTTTTCCTTGAAGACCCAACTCCTTGATGCCAAGTAGATTTGAGAATCAGTTTTCACTATAGTGTTATGACTGCTGAAAAGAATTTGAAATCATGAAGCTTCTACCAAAACCAGACCAAAACCAAGAGGAGTTCATATTAAAAATGTGTAAGGTTGGCACTAATGAAAGCAAAGCCACACTTAAATAACAATAGACGCTAAATCTTCTTAGTGCTCACGGTACAAAAAGAATGAGAAAAAGTTGTGCTCTTTTTTTAGTGTATACCTTCAGAGTTGGTCCACGTTGTCTAATTCTCATAGCTAAACCTTGCTGAAAATGTTGTGAGTTAAGGCATATGCTGAAACTGCGTGTGGTTTTCTGCAGCCAGCTGAGTAGGAAATACTGCAATGTTCAACAGTTGTTATGGCTGTTTTCTTTCCAGCCTCTCTCTAGGAGCTTGGGAGCACAGAGACATGTACACTTTTTTTACTCATAAAGCAAGGGGAAGCAATCCAAGATGGTTTCACTTTACTGGCTCCCTGTGGTGCTCTGGGTTCCCTTAGCAATGTAGCTGCAGCAACCAGGTTTATTTTGAGAAGGCTCCCCTCTTCTTTGCACCTACCAACAAATTTCATTTCTTTCTTTGAGGCCTCCGTTCCCATGTCTCTTTTCTGTACCTAGCTCCTGCTGGATCTTCATTTTGCCTGTTGCTACACCAGCTTAGCAGAGGGAAGGCTTTCCAGGGCCAAGAGCAGTTCTCTGCTTGCTTGGCCACTTCTCTTCTGTGCACAGCTGCTGGACCCAGTCCCAGTCCCAGGACCTGTGCTGTCTCTACACCACAATGGCCTCATTAAGGACATTTAGGGAGCGCCGGCCCGTTGCTCATTACAGGAAAGGCCCATGCTCTTTCAGGTGCAGATGCCACAAGAGGCCCTGGGTCCTGTCCCAACCCCTCTAGCAAAAAGCAGAGCAGTGTGGAGAAAATTCCTCTGAGTTCTCTGTTTCACCAGGAGCCTGCAGAAATCTCATCTGGTTCAAACACATCTCCTCCCTCAACCTTCTTAGACAGGGGAGGTCAGAAGTTGTTTCTTCCTTTTGTCCTGGTGAGCCAACCAGGACCTGGTGAGCCTACAAAAGATGAGCACATTTGTAGGTCTAGTTACCGTATCCTGCCGGAAGTCTAGGGGAATGATGCCCTCTCCCAAACTACAGGGCAGCTGTATTTCAGCAGAGGCCCTTATCCTGTCCATAGGAAAACTGCACTATGATTATATTGCCTGTTGCCTAAGAGGACTGAAGCGGAGGGGATGGAGGAAAGTGCAATTAGGATTCGCTGGTCAAGAGGGCTGAAATTTTTAGCCACTATGGTGCTCAGAGTAGCAGGACAGTAAACCACACAGAAATACACCAGGCTGGGTGAATTCCCCACCCACCACTGTAGCAATGGGACCAAGATTAAGCACAGCTAGTATGCTGTCATTAGCACCGAAAGGAAACAGAATTTCCATTTCACAGGAAGCTCTGCTGTTTGGTTTTCATTCCAAAAGTTAAAACATTCCTTTTCCACTTTTTTTTTTTCTTTTTGCTTAATAGAACATTTTCACCTCACATGCACTTACTTTCAGCATTTCCTCCCAGACTCATCAAAATGACACATTCATGCAGAGCGTCTGTGTGGATAAAGGGAAGAGTATTTAAACATACTAGGAAAGGTATGACCCCGTTTTACTCCTTAGGTCTGGACAGATTTAGGACCTGCCTGGCAGTAAACAACATGTCTGCAGCAGAGCTGGAAAAGATCAGATTTGCCAGACTTCCCCGTTCCAACGACTGGATAAAACCCCTTCTTGAGGGTCAGAAAGGAACAAAACCAAACCCTATGGGCTGTGCTATGGCCCTTGTACCTAGAGGAAACCCCGAAGTAAACAGTGTGCAAAGTTAAAGCTTTACTGTCTCAGTAGAGAAGGGATGATTCTTCTGATCTCTCCTCTCCCTTACTCCCCATTTTGGTCTTTGGGTGTCTGAATATCCCATGCCATGCTAACAGGCTTTCTGGAAAAGCCTTCTTCCCTGTACTCCACAGTCGAACTGGGTGGATGCGTTGCTGTTGAGCAGCATATTATGCATACCTTCTCTACTGCGTTCCCAGGATCTGCTTATCTGACGAACAAGGGAAAGAATCAGCATTACTTTTTAGATAGCTGCTATAGTTGCTGCTAGGAAGCTCTGTGGGTTTTCCTCATGGAAATGACCAAACCCATACAAACAAGGGGTAATTTTCCTATCTGATTCCATGTGCTTGGTTAACAGTTCTAGAGAGCTGGACACTGCTTTTCCTGAAACACCAACTCTACAACCTCAGTTTGGGATTTGAGATTGCAGCTGTATCCAGCAGCAAGAGAATCTCTTTGGAGGACCTGTGAAGTATAATGTCATAACTTGCCTGTAGTGGTGTGCACTAGAGCATACATAAGGCTGAATTTG